CACACAAATCTCTACTAAATGAAAATAAAAATAAAAATGATAATTCGATTGCATTGATATCATTGAGTGAAGGCATGATAACACACAATGCCACATACATAGTCAATCCATACAGTATTGATTGTCTCCAATGTGCAACTCCCTTGTAGATAAAATAAGATAAGATAAGATAGGATAAGATAAGATAAGATTAGATACCGTTTTAGTTCTTTTTTTCCTAGGACAACTTGATTCGCAATTTTTGCTATAATTTAGTACACAAACAAACAAAAAACGAAACAAAGCAAAAGAAAATAAAACCATAAAATAACAACAACCAAACAAACAACAACAACAACAAACAAACAACAACACCCCCACCCCTCTGATAATCTGCAACGACACATGTGTATAAATTTTATAGTCCTTTCTATCTCAGAATGTGATTTATCCGACAAGTCCCTAGGTTCCTGTGCCGCCACAAGCTTGCTACATTAAAAAATGCATGATGTAGGCCCTATCACATGTTTAAATTTTAATGAGACGGTGTGTTTATAGACTTTAAATATCTTCCCGTGGAACTTGATTAAAAATTCTGAACGAGTAGCTGGGCTGGGACTTAAAATAGTAGTTAGAACTGTTGATGCTAGATAGGGACCATATATTAAATTACTGCTCGGATGAAGGGTATATTGTAATCGTGGAAATGCATAACATATTCATATAATAATATTTAATTTGTGATGAAAGTTCATTTGACTCGTCACTGCACACCTAACTGTCTTCATGCTCCCATTCTGTGACAAGGTAAACCTACTTAACATGTTTAACTGCTAAAGGGAATGGGTGCACGAAAATCGTCGGTGCTGCAAACGAAATGTTTTTATTGTCTAATATTGTATCTTAAATTATTTATCATGTACTTGACTTTTTTCTTCTTTTTTTTTTCAAGGACGACAATACCAGAAACAGAGTTATGGTTATACTTTCATTGAGCTCTCCCCTATCTATAGGCGACTCTTTCATCTGATTCAGAGTTGGTTCCAACCACGTAGAAACGCACAGTGTGGGCTTTTTGGAAAAACAATTACGATTTGGGAATATACATGCACGGTATAGCGAATCTGCTCCCTGGGCCTACTCTCTATTCCCAAATAATCATTTATGGGGAGCGACCCTTGAAGAAGAAATAAGCGCCGTGGGCCTAAAAGGGGCCGTGCCCCCCCCCCCCTTCCGCCTCCCCACTTTTTTTTTTTTACAGGGGGCGCTTGCGCCAGCTGTCTCATACCCTGTCTAAAACGCCCCCAAAAGCTGTTTTAACTTTTCATGAAGCATAATTAGAGTAAAATATGTATGGCGCAACAGGAAACTCATTATGACAAAACATAACCAACTCTTACAATAATGACAAAAAACCTTATATTTAAATACTTACTCTTGAAGTGATTTCATTCTTTTTTCTCATAAGTTTCTGTGGTCAATATAATATCATTATTTTTCATAGTTTTTTAAAATGTTTTAATAGATTTGGACTTTCTCTTCTGGTCCTCACTGGTGAAAATACATGTACATCACAGATTACTCAAGAGGTTTTTTTTTTTTTTTTTTTCCTCGCTGGGCACTTCGACTGAGATTATTTCCTCTTTCCCAAGAGTGGCAACATTCAGGGTGACCAGCTGCTGTTTATAGAACCAAGACAAGGAGATTATTTGTTGTAAGCTCCTTGAACCAAGGTCATCTGGAGTGTATTTCAATATGCTTATAGAGGACAAAATAAGGAGGACTAAATAAAATGATCTTTATTAGCAGATGATTACATTTCCTTAACCCCCCACCCCCAAAAACAAAACAAAAACAACTGTTAAATGGAAATAACGTAGACCTAGACCTTTTTTGTTTTTGTAGAAGTCATTCTTCCCCAGAATAATTAAAAGCACCTGGATTTGGACCTGGGATTTATCCAAGATTGTAAAAGTTTTGGCTCGTGTATAAAATTTGATAAGTCTATTTATATTGGTGAAAATTTAAACAGAATGTAAAAAGTGCCGTGCATACACATAACACTTGTTTGGTCTCTGCATGTTTTCTAGCTTATTTTTCAACCTGCAGCGATGATTCGAATCCAAAGCCTTAATTTTTGGTCGTTTGTTGAGTTTTCAATGTTCTTGACTCGCTAGGTCTATTTTAGTTTTTAATAAGTATTTTACGGCGTTTGCAACACAATAAGGTCATATAAGTGCCGAAGATTAGAGGTGTTACAAGAGAGTAAGAAACACAAAAAAGGAGGGGAAATATTGACGACAGACGATAGGAAAGAAGAAGCAAACAACACCAGTGCACCCGCCAACCACCCACTCTGCATGGTCTGTCCCTTAAACATGAGGAATACTTGTGAAAGAGGCACAAGACCCATTTTATACTCAGTGCTGGGCGTGAAAAGGAACATGTCACGACACAATGTATGAGGAGGAAAATTAATTTTTGTTCTCTTCATATCTAATCTGTCTTTGATACATGAAATTTTGGTTAGTTCATGTCCTTTTTTTGCTTTTCTGTAGGGAACAGGTACCAGACTTATTTTTCTACCTGTGCAAATTGATATGACCAACTTTAACACCCCTTTGACTCTCATCTATCCATTATTTATGAGCTACTTTGAAACATCACGAACAGAATAAAAAAAACAATTAAAAAAAACAGTCATGTATGTTTGCTTTCCTTTATTTTCTTATGAGTTGCATCCCCCTATACATGGGAGACGACCCACAGTCAAGGAACCAAAGGGTGGGTTAGTCAAACTGTAGAACATCAATTCTTTTAGATCAAAACATGTAGATAACACATTGCCTTCAGATATCTTGTAACACTGTAATGAAAGGAAGATATTTCCAAACAAAAATCATAAAAACAAATAACCGAATGTCACGAAAACAAATGCGAAGGAGGAACAAAAGTATAATATGTACAATATCTCAATGAAATGAAATGAGTAGAACGTGTGACTTCACTTCCGCAAGGACAACAATATTTTGTACACTACACGGTGCTAGTAAAACGTAACAAAAACATCACCCACAATTCTCAATACTTCAATAGTGACGGCAACGATGAAACTTAATTCTTGTACTCACTGCAACAAAAAAGTCGACAAGAAGTTAGTGTCCCAAAACTAAATACATCAAGGGGGAAAGTAATCCCCCCTCCCCCTCCCTGAAGACAGCAATAAACCCCTGATGAAAATAAATCAATCCTCTTCACACTTACTCTGAAAGAAACGGGTAACATTACTAATTCGTTAGTAGAGGAAGTAAACACGATGAACAGAATTCTGATTTGAAAATACCCGAAAGCAAAATAGATATATATTTCTCAACTGTCCCTTCACACGAGAAGAATGACACACAATATACTATAAGCCACAAGGAAACTAAACATGTACAGAAAAAGTAGAGATGAAAATAAATCTAAGATTTCCTGGCACAAGTATACAATGTTTCTTGTTTGGCAGTACACGTACTGTACAGTGATATGTATCTAAGGTATTTCAGAACTGAACTCTCTCCTATATGTACTGGTAATGTATAATGTTCATCTAAAGTCAGAGCTAAACAGGTGGACTGGCATAAGAAGATGTCCTGGAGTGTTCTGGCCACAATGGTACCTCTAGCGTTACTTTTTAAAAATTCATCTTGATACTCATATATGCCATCTTAGGTTCTTAGTTTTAGTAAGAGTTTTACTACAGCACACAATTAGACCACACATAAGTGCCCAAGATTAGAGGTGTTACTAGAGAGTAACATACAAAAAAAAAAGGGGGAGAGACAAGGATGATGATAGATGTTTGATACGGAAGAAGGAAAAAGCCACACCAAAGCATCTGCCAACCGTTCATACCTATGTGTAACGGCCTAGGTCTTTCAATGAGTGGTTTGGCTCTGTAGTAGCCCTAGTCATATATCTATGCTAAAAGTAAGACCTTTAAAAAACCCAGCTTAGTCACAGGGCCAGGGACACAGCCTATTGAAAAAGAAAAATACAAATAGATGAGGAAAAAATGTTGGAAACAAATAACTAAACGGGACAAGAACAAATGCGAAAGGGGGGGGGGGGGGGGGGGGGGAGAGAAGGCAAATTACAAACAAGAACAATACAAAGATGTTGAAAATATTTACAAAGAAATAAAGATAGAGATTTCATTCAAAAGTAGAACATCCTTTTATACTCTGCGGAGCCTCGCTACATTTTTTTCTTCAAGAAGGCAAAGATTCATGTGACAAATAAAAAACCGCCACCATACATTCTATGCCTTGTGCAGTGAGTAAGCTCATCATAACAATTAATGACCAAATTCAAATTATGACATTTGCAAGAATTTCAGTAACAGATCTACTCCAAAGGACAACTGATTCCAGACATCCATAACACATGCAAATCATTACAGGTTGCAGAATTATACATTTGAATAAGAAATGTATATTTTGTTAAGTCCTTGTAGCTTTTATTCTTAGTCATTTGAACAATTTTTGAAGCAATATTTATGTACTTGGAAGGAGAAATCAAAACATATTTATGAAATAGGGCATTCCAAACCACAGATCTTACAAGGCTATTGCCATCTGCACACAGAACGCCAGATCGGTCTAAAACTGAGTGACAGAAGCAGCTGTACTGCCCCTGTACAAATTCCTGTGAACATTTCGATTTATTTGCCCATTTACCATAAATTAACACTTTGCCGCCTCATCTCGCCGATTGGCGATGTTCACCACCCAGTTTCTTTGAATTTTCCCAAACTATGATGGCAAAGTGTTTAACCTTGAAACATGTTCATTTTCCTTTTCCAA